CATGTAAAAGTTAAATTATGGGAAGGAACATGGTATTAGTGGACATAGTGTTTAGTGGACTAAGACTGAGTCGTATCAGATGCGGTTGGGTCCGTGTAGGTGGTTCGCTCGTAGCTTCAGCTAGGTTTTCCAGTAAACGGGAGAATACAGTGCAGAGTTTGACAAAAATGCCTGGGGATTTGCCATGGGACTAATTAAGGCAGTGCCATACCACCATTGCGCTGACATAAATTTATTTCTGGATAACAATGGACTCAAGTTTTAAGGTGGTCGGATGATGTATGTTTAATTCCGTGAGCGGCGGGATTTTTAATAAGCCGAGCGGTCCACACAGATGGAACAGGCCAATGTGGGATCACAGGTATTTTCCGTTTGGCTACAGATTCAAGCAGATGTGATACAGAAACCAAGTTGAGTGCACAAGGAGCATGTGGAGTGTTCGGTTTATCTAGCACCGAAGCATAAAAGGTGCACTAGTATACATTGCACAGAGCCATCAGGAGGCACTCCCTGTTTGTCCTTCGCACAAATTCAATGATCTGTCATATTTTTAAAACACTGTTTTACTCCTCACGAAGGAACATTTACAACTGACTGCGCTCATGCAGCTGCAACAATCAGTCCATAAAATTCCACCTTACAACATTATTAGGAGGCTACAGCAACCGTTTGTCTGTATTGCGAATTGCTCCACATTGGCATCAGATTTACACTTTTCGTGACCCCTGCTATGAACTTAACTGCCCAAATGCACGCTTCTTAGCCAATGGTTTCTAGTTTTATTTCAGATTGACGGACTGAATTACCGAAGCGCTGAAGTTTCTTTAGATTTTTTAGTTCCTTATTTCCTTCAATGTGCAGTTTTTTCTACGCGCCAGGTCTGGTCTTGCTCCAATTCGACATGTTCTATTAACAGCGGAACTCTAATAACTGGTGTCTCGATGTCCAATGAATTCAGATCACACACGTTTGGGGTTGGCCGCATTTGCTTCGGATAGTGCCTAATATTTATGGGACTGCCAAGGTTCCTTGCATTAGTGGTTACCAAGTCAAGTCATTCTTCTCCTTATTCTGAGTATACCATATTACTTATAACTTATCCCATGTCACCCACCATGTGGGAAAAACATTATTACTATTAAGTGCTCACCCGCGGCTGAAGACCGAAATAGATGCATTTCATACATGAAATTTAACCTTACCGGATTTACCAACGTTTGCGTAGGATACTTCACCCTTTACAACCGGTTATGAACGCTCGCAGGGAGCAAGAAATTAGTTATTTCTACTCAGGGGTTTGTCGACAAATCGTCATGCTATCCATTTTGACGAATATGGGCACTCTAAATGCGGGAATATTATCACCCCAACTGGTGCAATATAATACGGTAGGCAAAGATTGGCACCGTTTTGAAAGTCTCCGGGCAGCCATGTAATCAAGTGAACCAGTGTTTGCAGAACAGGCTTTTTGTTTACAACGGCACCCATCTGTGATGGTTGAAAAATCCCCCAAAGTCAGCAATCGTTGGTATTCGTGAAATGAATTCGTGCTATGCTACACTACGTTAGATAGACCTAGCACTGAAGTCTACTTCAGTAGAATCAGTGGGCTGAAGTAAAGGCAACAGACCTAGAGGCTTTGATAAACACGCATTCACGGATTCACGGATTGATACACAGGATCGAGGCTTTTGCCCAAGTCTCCCGAGTCGGTTTTGTTCTTGTCGGTCAGTGGCTGTCGTTCACCTGAAAGGCACAAGTGAAAAA